CTGTATGGAAAACCTTTTAGCTCCAAAATGAAACATGACTTTAAAAAACTCTACATATACTTTTGCAGGTCTTAAAGTGTACAAGGAACAGGATGACACACCCTTAATTACAGAGCAAGAAATTTATACATCTCTGCACTGTATAAGGGTATGCCACAGACATCAGTTTGAACAAGCTGATATTACACTACCTCAAACACTCAGGGAAATCTGTACTTACCCACAAGTCATGTTCAGCATAATCAAACAGCAGCCAAACCTTTCTGTCACTGTGAGAAAGGAAAACCTTCTGCAATGCAATCACGTTAGGGTGCTTCAACTCTCGTAAAAGCTGCAGAGAAACAGAGAAGCTCTTGTTACTTCTGTGCTTGTTAAGAAAAGCAAACACAACAAGGAAAGAAAAACAAAACAGGTCTTAACACAGAGCAAACAAGTAATCTTAAAACAGGACCTGGAAGAAAAGATGTCAATGATTTAGTATATTATTGTCAAAATGTCAAAAGCAGGGCATAGGCAGCCACCATGACACGGGCTGCTGTTGTGGCAGTGCACGGTGACCATCACCTTTAGCTGTCCCACACTCGCACACAGCTGCCCGTCCCACCTATTCATCCCACTCGCCCTCAGCTTCTGTCTCAAAGAGGCTCTTACACTCAAACATAACTGTTCTCTTATCAAAGGTAAGCATCAGTATTTGAAGATGTCAGTTTGCACACCTGGTCCAGTTCTTTGTGTGAACAGCAAAGTTCTCAATCACCACATAATTACTGTATTACCAATAATTTTCTTTCGCATTGGACCCCTGCCTCATCTCCCTTGAAGTCCACAGGATTGTTCTTCTCAGAACATAACGGTGTTTTCAAAGAAGAGCTTACTAAACCCAGTTTTTTAATGTTTATTTCAACTACTATCCTGTAATCCAGAAATAAACCCAAATTTACTGACTGCTTGCCAGAAAGAAAACTAGGTCTCATGACTAATTAGACAACACATTAAAAGCAGGCGCTGCTGCTGAAGTCATCCTTCTGCCAGATTAAATCAGTCTCAGGAGCTGGGATGTGGTACTCCCAAAAATATCATTTCCATGGAATCACATTTTTCCCCCCCTCTCCCCCTCATGTAGTCACAAGAATGATAGATCACTTCTGTTTTATCTGAAAATTGCTTGCATCTGCAGCACTAGTACATAAGTTGCCAAGAATCAATTTATAATGGCAAAATAGTACATGAAGCAGGTTTCAAGGCATATTTGAGAGAAATGAATCTTCCCTTTTTTTAGCTTACAGAAAAAGACTCAAGATGCTTATTTTAGGAGGGGAAAAAAAATAAGTAAAAGGATTACTTCTAAATTATATTATTCTTTGGCTATAGAGATATCAGTCAAAGCAGTAAATCTTCTAAAGAATATTACAACTGTTTAAATCTATTTGAGTTTTTTAACAAATTAAATTATTTAAATGCTTTTTCTAACATGCAGAAAGTGTTTTCTTCTTTGTTTCTTCCTCTCCCTAACAATAAGTACTTCTAGCTGTACAAAAAAGAAATTTCTCCCTAATGAAATGACCAATAGTCATGCCCAGGTATCACTTACAAGACACAGTAAAAATAATTTTGTCACTTAAAGAGTAACAAGTCGCAGAATTAACCTAACAAAACCCTAGAGACTAAAATTATCTCTCCAATATGCTTCAAGAGATGTTGCTATATACTTGGTCTTCAGTAATATTAAAATACATACTTTCCAGTAGGGATTTGATTTGATGCCTCTGCCTTTTTTTTTTTTTTTTTAAATAAAGAATTCTTCCCATTTTAGGATAATTTTTAAATTAGTGGGACAAAAAAATCCCAACATTATAATAGGCTCATTTTTTTTAAAATTCCTATTAGATTTTTCTTAAAAATACTGTTGACAGCACTAGCAATAAAAAATAATTCCAAATTGGTTTTTTTTTTAAAAGTGCTCTCTCAAATTAAGTAAAAATTTGCAGTAAGAAAGAACCAAAGAGACTATAGTTCCATATCAAAACATAAATAAAAGAGATATTATGTAGAGCCTAAGAATAGAAAGAATGCCTAAAGTGTCATGCATTAATAGGAAGGTGCTATATAAAAACAAGCCAGGAACTGGTATAATTCTGCATCTTTCAAACACCTCTGCTCACACAGAGCAACTGTACATAGCAGTGGTCATCATCTATTAAAACAACTTGATTAATAAATGAAACCCAAAACCTCTCCTTCTCAGGCAAACCATGAAAAAGGATGTTTTCATAGTAGAGAATACGGAAAATTTGTCATCCAAAACAACAACATACACTAATTTACAATTGAGAAAGTCTTCTACTGTGTCGTTCTCTTATGATTCAATTTAGATGACGCACGAAGCACACTTAACTAAACCCAGCATTTTTCACGTGACAGAATCTGTTACTAGCATGATCTTAAACACTGATTTTTGTAAAAATCCTAAGAACTTGAGGGAGAAATCATTGTTTTTTACTGTGAGTGTTGCGTGTCTAATAGAGAATGGCTGCACCTACCTGAAGCTGAAGACCAGAGCACTCTAAAGCCAACAAACCGTCTCTGAGAAAAAGTTGTGATACTATTTTTCAGCTGCTGGGTGAGCGGTTGCAGTTGCAGCTACAGATGGCGTGAGCTCCCTCCAGACTAGCCACGGCTGCTTACACAGGTTACAGACAGTCTCTACCCACCTGCTTCTCAAGTCCTGCTTGGAAAAGCTAGCGATTTTTCTAAACCATATTGTAAATCAGCATGTTAAAAGCAGTAAGGTTACTTTTGAAGTCGCAGTCCAGAAGATGCTGAGGTGTTCTCAATATCTCAATCATAGGAGCTACAGCAGCCTTATAAATAACAATGGGGTTTTTTTCTCTCCAGATGGGCACTTAGAAAGCAAAACATTTCAGACATGAATGCTTTCCAAAACACATCTTTTTTAATAGTTACATTTAAAACAATATTCATAATTTATACAAACATTTTTGGACTTGACTCCCTGACTTAAACTCACTCTGTAGTTATTTAGACATCAACCAATTTTAAAAACTAGACTGAGAACTTGTCAAGACACCTTGCTCGATCTAGTGATGTGCAACAGAAAATACTGGGAAGTTGTTATTAAGACTATTTAAATAGGCCTTTGTGTTATCAGTTCAGTAATCCAACAGATGAACAAGTTTGTTAATTATGAAAGAGGGCAACTCAAATTTTACATTATTTGCATCTGCATTTCTTAAGTGAGTGCTTTAGTACTTATCACAGATAGTAATTTTGGAAGTTCTTTTGTAGTTTTAGCAATAAACAATGGACGTTTATACCTTTTTTTTCTTTTACAGAGCCACAACCCTAATACAGCCAGAGGCCATAAGAAATTTCATGAAAACAGAAAGCTGCAAGTGGTGCACATGAAGCCATAACTGTTTTAAAGGCTTTGTTACATCCTGGCCATTGAGATCATGGGTGCTGCAGCAGCTGGTGCTTCAGCAGCGGGAGCCAGACCAAGGAAATGTCGGCTCTGGAACCCAACGCACTGAGTCAAGAACAGGAGCTTTGCTCCTGCTAGGCCAGGCTTGCAACGGTGCTGGGCACCAACCACATGAGATCAGAAATTATAGCTTAGGGTACAAGTGATTAGCATGAGTCACAAACAGAAAAGTTAGTCAGATTGATGTCTAAAAATAACCTCCTCTAGAGACAGACTACATCAGAAGATAAGGTGACCACACAGATCAAACTGACGTTACTCACAGGTACATCGAGTGGAGATGAGGGAAGTCATCAAAAAGCACTGGAAAGATGTGATCAGAAAGGAATATAGAACAGAGCCAAGTAGAAATCGAGACAGCAAATTTGAGACAAGTGTCCTGAAGACAAGTACTGATCTAAGGTTTAGCTATAAAGAAATCAGAGACTTTGGAAACTATTTTCATTAAAGCACACAGATAGAAGCCAATAATGAAAACACAGTAACTAAAGCTACTTGCATCACAGTTTCATCAACTACCCACCCTAATGACTTCTACGTTTGACAAGAATTTTGTCAATGTTTAATTTCTACACCAACCACTTAATTGCATTCTCATTATTTTTTTTCTAAATGGCTTAAAAAGTTATGGATTGCTTTAAAGATTGCCAGGGTATCACCCAGCTCTTCAACTAACCCTAATCTAGAAAAGAAAGACCTAACTCACCTCACAGTAGACTTTCCACTTTTGCTTCTCTGTCAGCATCTTCTATGAAGTGCTGGCAGATCCTACTGCCTTTGTGCAGGCTGAGAATGAACTTGACTTCAGATTCTATGCATATGGGAGAAGAAGAACTAATTTTTAAATATATTGCCCAAATAGGAGACACAGGACAGAAGGAACAAAAAAGTGTGTGTAGTGAGATTGCAGTTAGGTAAGATTTTAGCTTAGTCTAATGGCTCACCTTCCAGATTTTCCCCTTGCACTACTCCTTTTATTAGCTGTCATATACCACATATATCTAACAGTTATGTCATGCACCTTTTTCTGAAATGGTCATATGTCCATTCATCACCATAAACACATTTCACAAATGTGCATTTTAGCCATTCTAGAATCCCAAGGACAACTTCAGACATGTGGTAAATCACTGTCTACAGCTTTGCTGCACTACAAATAGCCATATAAACCTTGGACATACAAAACAGATAAATGAAACTTAATAATAACAATATTTTCCTTGAGTTTTGTGCAGAAGTAAATCAGTTTGGAGACTTGGTTAAGTCAAGTCAAAAGTTAGAAAGAATAATATACCATCTCAGTAACTGAAAGATTCCAGTGTACTCAACATTTTATTACAAGTTAACAACCTGAACACAAAAAGGATATGAAACTGCAAGAATTTATTACTAAGTGAACACAGCATCATATTTTAGTAGTATTTTGCTTATTGTTTGCTTAAAATGCTAATAAAAACCTGCCTCTCAGGTGAGTTATGAATCATTTCTTCCTTGGTAACAGCATACAAAGCAGTTTAGGCAGAAAGTGATTGAGAAGGGCATCATCCTGAATTCTCAACATCTGTGCAGCTTTGATTGCCCTGTATAACGGCTTTTTTTTTTTTTTTTTTTTAAATTAGTCTTCTGGTCAAGAGAACTGTACAAGCATCTTTGGTCATCAGTTCTTAGCTGATGCCACAGTGTAAAATTTTAAAATGCAGCATTTGGATAGCCCAAATAGCACAAAACATCTTGCATCAAAGTCATGAGCATGAGTGAAATGACACGATCAAACAAAGGTAGCATTCCAAAAGAAGAAAAGAGTGTGACAACACATCACCTTTTATGATACTTTATTCTATGACTGAGTAAACAAAGGGAAACAGAATCAGGATGAAACTAACAGCACAAAATCTGAATTCATGTACTTAGAAACTAACCAAAAATTTCTACTGCAGGCTGAGAAGTCACCAGGTGCAAGCAACAACAAGATAGAACTGGATTACCATAAAACAAGGAAGAAAATTGAGAGGGGAAATCTGGTATTAGATATACTAGCTGAAGTACTTACAGGAGACAAAGGGATGTATTGATATCAATACATAAAAGGCTTCTGTGATGTATTTTTAGAATACTGTAGGCAGTTTTCTTTACCTATGCTCAAACATCTCCCCCTCCACACACACAAAATGAACTCACCCTGAAAGAGGCAAAGGGTGACCAAAGGAACAGTGTTTCTCTCAAGAGGGAAGAAAATGCTTGCTTGATTACTGTAAGTGATTAAATATCTAAAGAAGATTGATATCCACTAAAATACAAATGCATGAGCAATCAAAGATGAATGACATAATTATGCTAAGTGACAATCATGGTTCAAAACCAAACAGATACAACTGATAAGAGATAAATTCACCCCGCAAGAGGGCAACCCATGAACACAAAGGTTCAGGAATAGCTTCTCAATAGCAGGGAAAACAGCTCATCTCATTTGTAGCTTGATCATCATTGGAAAAAAAAAATTACTTGATGAATTTGGTGTAACAATCAGCCATAAGATTCAGCGATGCGATGTCTTTGTAGTATGTGCTTTTATAGAAGCCTTCAAGAAAGGTGGGTTTGGTGATGTCTTACTGATCATCTCCAGCAGATGAAAAAGATGATGTACTGATTTACAGTCAGTTTATACAATAATTTTGTTTAAAGTCATTTAACTTAGCCTACAAGTTGTCTATCATCATATAATGCAAATAATTTTTATGTCAAGTAGACTAGCAACTTGGAAATCTCTTGCTCTTTTGAGGTTTAGAAAGTTCTGCCGTTTTTCCCACCAAAGAAATATACAACTTCTGTGAGACATACACTGTTACTAATGTAAACAACATGATCAGTTACAAAGGCATTTAGCACATTTTAAAATAGTCAGACAGTACATTCTTCAAAGAACTCATGCATAGAAATATTTTTTCATGATAGAATGAACACTGCTTTCCAGCTACCACCTACAATGGCAGGGTGAGGACAGACACTTTCACCTCGCTGTGAAGGAAACCTATGGAAAATTAGAGGTAAGACAAACACTGTTGTCACTAGTTACATTAGTAAATCTTGCAGTGAACATGTACTCTGTGTCAGCGATGACAAACCCCATAATCTTCTACAGAAATTTATTTTAAAGCCAAACACATCCAAAAGGTCTTATCTTTCACATAGTTTACTTCAGTCTTTTGATCTATTGTAGTTAAACTGATTTGAAACGACCTTGGCAGTCTCTTTGATAGAAATGCACTCTGTAATGCATTTAACCATTTTCAAAGTTAGAACCAAAATCCTTAACAGGCAGAGATGTGGATCGCAAGAAGTCACATGAAAGACCAAGGGATGAGCTTGATTGCTCATAAAAGCCATCTACAGTGTAGAATTTTAAATCCACCTCTTGGGTGATGAGCCTATTCAATGCCCCTTAGTCACTGAAGTTGGTTTTAAATTGAAGATGTGGTTTTCAAAGGAACCTAAGAATCATCACTTTACTCCTTTAGAAGCTCTTTAAAAATTTCAACTTACTTAGATGCTATTAATCAAGACTAAATCCTCTCTTCCACGTTATTAATATTATCCTTTCTCCATAAACCCTCTGATGTCTATTATCATATTTGAGCTCATGCTGCAGCTCTTCCCTCAGGGAGATATATATAGGACTCAAAAAATAAAAACAGACAGCTATTAATATTATTAAACTTGTATGAACAATCCCTTGCTAACTGTGCTACAGGTCTCAGAAGTTATCAGGAAGAAAAGAGAGGGGAAATGAAATACCATTCCACATTAAAAAAGTATGCAAAATTCACCTTTGTTTAGTGATCAAATTGATTCTTGACTTTGGGATTTCCCAGTTTGGATTTCCTCTTCCAGTTGGAGAAATCCCATCTAAAGAGTTAACCGCATAACTGAAGTAAAGAAATTTTTACCTAGTAATAGCTTCAAACTGAGCAGGTGTGGGGGGTTGGCTGTTTGTGGCTGGCACATATAAGACATCTCAAAAAGATGTCCAGAACATAAAAATGGATATGGGTGCACAATATACACACACAAAAAAGACCCAAAACTGTCCAAAGAACCTAAGAAGAAAAGTTTAAATGGCAGCTTAAGCTGTGCTTCAGAGAGGACGTATCTTTTTGTACACTGGTCTGGTCAAGCCCTGTCCTTGGACAACCTTTGGCAGGGAAAAACAAGCAGGGGAGGCAGAAACTGCCATTTTTACATGTACCTCTAGCAGTGCTGCCTCAGTTTATATGGCACACTCCAAATCAAAATTAACACGGTGAAATATTTTAAAGCATGACTCCAAGCAGACTCTTCCCTCTGATTCTCCTAAAAAAGCACTCAAACTTCATTTTATCCTAAGGAGTCCTTCATATTGACACATCCCTCCAGGTCTGTTCTACACATCCTTCAACCTTCTCCTTTCCTCATGCTTCCATCTCTCTAAAGGACACAATCCCAAACTCTGAGGGCTCAAAACTCCTACAAGAGAAAGACGTTTTAAAAATACAGAAGTAAAAAGGCACTGAACAGAATCTAGCCAGTAAATTGCCAATTGTTAGGACAGGGGACAGGAAGAGATTAAAAACCTGCTCCACCCTCCTCCTGTGACAACGATTTAGAAATTATTTATTCTATAAATATTTTCATTTCCAGAGCTGAAAACGGTTTGGCATTGCTAAATAACATTATTATGCTGAAACAAAAGCTTGGCAAAAGATTTAATTTTTATTACATTTTAACTAAAATAAAGGAATAGAAACCTGGGTAGCTTCATTTTTAGTTCTTGATGTTCTCAGCAAAAGAAAATTAACTTCAGCATTTTTCTTGAAGAACTTAAGCAGAAATACAATTACAATGGTCCCTCCCATCCCTTAGTTACCAGTGAGGTATTCCAAGGCATAGGCTTTTA